TATAGTGCTTTCTGGGAAGATAAGATACACATTGTCGTCGAACGAAAATGTCAAGACAGCCCAGATAGCTACTCAGAGATAAACTTTGAAGAATACAAATCGGTCCAGAGACCACAACAACACGAACCAGTAGTAGTACCTGACAAAGAGATCAATGAAAACATTGCTAACGATATCGATGGTCCTGATCTGATGAATGTCAATGACCAAGGTGAAGAAGAACTAAACGGAGAAGGTCGTCCCTACAATGAAATCGGAAACGTAAATGGAGCAGTGCAAAACGCAGTGGCCAAGAATGAAGACCAACCATGGAATGATGAAAATATTGAGGACCCTTGGCCAACATAACGCCCACAACGAGTAAGACAACCACCGGTACGATTCGGATATAATCAACCGGGAAACCCAGCATTATTTTGTCAAGCTGTTGTACGAGCGTGCAACCTTGGCAGACGACCCTTTACCCACCTTGGAATCCAGGATGGTTACCACAACCGCAATTTTGGTCACCGATGCAGTGCCCTTGGCAAATGTTTCATCCGCAGATGTGCAACGCATCAACGCCATTTTACCGCATTGGACCAGTAGGAATGTGGTGACGTTGAACTTTGCAACTAAGTGAACTTATTATGCGAACATTTTGAACTAAGTAATCTAAGCAAAACGCTACAATCGTAGAAAGCTTGTGTGGATGCGTAAGAACTGAAGTTATTAACTCAATAGTTACATTAGAAGTTCAGTTGAATGCATTATACGGAGAAGTAAATGCATAGTTTGGAAAATATGTTAGTGTCAGTAGGCCTGATATAGAGAGTTTTAGATTGACGGTTACGGCAAACGTCAAACCGCTAACGAAGTTTGTGATTTTACAACTCTATTATCATAGCTTTTACACCAGTTTTGAAATATATTAAACAATTATTAAACTTGTGGTATTTAACAATGATTGAAGAAAACAAATTAACCACTAGTCACGTATTCACCAAAGCAGTAAAATAAGACTTAGCGTTTGAGGTTTACGTTTGGCGTATAAATTTCATGCTTTAACGACTACAAGCCCTCATAGCAGTTCAAGCATAAAATGTATACGCCAAAAGGCAACTTCAAACGCCAGATCTTAATTTACTGCTTTGGTGAATGCGTGACTAGTGGTTGATTGCTTTCTTAAATCATTGTTAAATACCACAAGTTTAATAATTGTTTAATATATTTCAACACTGGTGTAAAAGCTGTTATAATAGAGTAGTAAAATCACAAACTTCGTTAGCGGTTTGACGTTTGCCGTAAACGTCAATTTAAAACTCTCTAATGTAACACTAGGATCTTAAGCGTATGAACATTTTAGTTGTAATTAAGCATCATGTGTGATGAACTTTTAAAGGAAGGGAGAATGTAACCCGGGTAATAATTAGGGCACGCTTTGCCAATTGTGGCCCAGAAGGCCATACGAGACAAACTATTAATTAAGAGAAGCAAGGTTCTTTCATATTTGATGAATAAAAGTGATTTGTTTTATAAAATCGTAAATAGAATCGTGTATTTTCATGGAAATAATCCCATGGTAACACCCACACTAGTTGACTTTTTCTTATAGATTTGCTGCTGCGCCAGGTTCGTTTTAGCTTCTCAGCCATGACCATACTGTTAACCCTGTCCATGAGAGGCATATACTGTACGTGTTTATAATATAAATACTGTGAATCCGAATGGGAATATGGAATATGAAAATAAATACTGATATTCTGCACTGCGCAGATAATACCTATGCAATCGCAACAAATTGAACATTATGATTGAACACCATGCCATAGACGGATTTTCTGGGGGTGCGTGGGGGTGCTACCCCCCCAATATTAGCTATAACCCCCCCAAACAAAATATCCACCTCTCCAAAAAAAATTTCAACCCCCCCCTCCAATATTCGGCATAAGAAATAAATAATTAAATAGTCCACTCCAACGTGTAGAGTGTTGATGATACAAAATAAACGTAGGAGTACACTCGAACAGAAAAAGACAGTGCAACACTCTGAAACTAATCGCTCCTCGCTTACATTCACTGGTTTATTGGAGCAATTGTAAAGTTTTGAAACTCTATTATATCTCCCCTGAATAGAGTTTACAGTGCCTTGTCATGCGAATAGTTTGCACGCAAGGAACGTTTGGAATTTTTACTAACATTATTTTTAGTTTTTAATTCTTTTAGGAAATAAACTTGCCTAGATTTAATCTTTACGCCCCAAATATTATTTACATCGGAGTTGCATCATTAATTGTGGTCGGATTCAAACAACACAATGTCAATGACTTCATAAAAGTAAAAGCATATTGTCTATTGTCTATTGGCCTATTGGGTTTACACTTTTACAGGTTCATTAACTTTAAGTCTTTAACTCTCTCAAGTCTCAACAGACAATCGGACATGCCAAATCCATTAATTGATATGACAAATTGACAACTTCAAAAAACTTTTTTTCGAAGCTAGAAATCATGATTTTTTCAAATTTTTCCTGGGATACATTGTTTTCTGCTCTCTAGACTCCCCCTCGCGGCTCTAGTGCTCCACCCCTAGAATATAGACCTTTCACTGGGGTTTGTTGACACTTTGTGTTGCTTTAGTCACCTGCTCACGGCTCACCCCCTTAAAATTTCTGGCACCACCCCAGTAAAAAATATGAAAATCCGTCTATGCACCATGCCATGCACGAAAGACGTTTTTCACTTCATACATATCGTGCATCATGTCAATGCCGCATATGGAAATGTGCACTCGAACCAGTTATGTCAGCCACTTAAATCAGCAAGCTTGGTTGGACGTAAACGAAGGGCAATTCAATATCAGATGGATAACCATGCCGGCAGCTCCCGATGGAATTCTGGAAAACATTAACTGTGGTTGCAAGTGTGGATGTTCAACAAGACGTTGTGCCTGTGTGCATAAAGCAGAAATTGAAGTGTAGTAGTCTTTGTTCGTGTTGCGTTTGCACAAATTCTCCCCACCACAAAAACAGACGAGAACCATTTGTTAGATGATGACGATGATAAATGGCCTATTATTCGAACTTGGTGGCGATGACACTGAATTCGATGGTAAATTTGAAGAACAATGATGGCAATGCACGTACTGTAGGTATTATCTGCGCAGTGCAATGTGCATCAGATCAGTATTTATTTATTTATCCGATATTCTCATCCGGATTCACAGTATTTCTATTATAAACACGTATATCCCTCTCATGGACAGGGTTAACAGTATGGTCATGGCTGAGAAGCTGAAGCGCACCCTGGCGGGAGGAGTTGAAACGCACCATGGCGCATGAGCAGCAAATCTATAAAAAAAAGTCAACTAGTGTGGGTACGACAAAACAGGTTGAATCGTTCCTTGTTATTCTAGATAGTGGCGAAATACCACTTATATTACAGTATAATAGAGGGTGTAAAAAAAACTGAACAGATTTGAAATTGCTCTCAATTTCGCAAAACAGCTATTAGTATCCAATTTTTTATGTATATAGCTTCTTTGGGTACTTATAATGTAGAATAATGAAAAAATTTCTCGAACTCAAATTTTGTGAACCAGGGGGGCATGTCTTTTCCAA